CGACCATGTTCGCCCGAGGCCGGGCCCCCAGACCATCACAGATCCATCGGGCTCGAAGAGTGCCTCAGAAAGGTGGGGTCTGGAGTCTGTAGGGCTCGGGCGGTGAGAGCTTTCGCGGTGTCCCAGCGTCTTCGCGCCGTCACGTCTCAGGGGGGATGGAGGTGGCGGGCAGGGGACGTGCTGAAACACGACGGGGGCGCCATGCAACCTTATCATGACCCCCAGGAGGAGGAGGAGGAGGAGGAGGAGGAGGAGGAGGAGGAGGAGGAGGAGGAGGAGGAGGAGGAGGAGGAGGAGGAGGAGGAGGAGGGAGGAGGATAAGGAGGAGGAGGAGGAGGAGGGCCATGTTGTCCACCCCCCTCCTCTTCGACGCCTGGCGCTTTGAAGGGCCATAACTCAAGCCTCCGGCGGCCGTGGGGGGCAATGCGGGCGCCAGCCTGGAGAGCTCGGCGCAGCCGCGGGGAGGCACCCGAGGCGAGAAAGCCTCCAAGAACCGACGAAAACGACAGAGAACCCGTCCGAACCTCGATCCTTGAACCCCCCTCGACCCCCTCCCCCAAGAAATAGTGAGGGGGTGGATCGTGGGGCCATCCAGGTGCTCTCCTAGAGCCATCATGGCCATCAGGAGGAGGCGGGGCCAGGGGGGGCCCCCCAGGGCCCCAGGGGGGGGGGGGGCGACGAGCCAACGAACGAAGGACAACGGAAATACAGGGCTCCGAGCTCTAGAGCACAGGTGGGCGTTCTTGTATTCGGCGTTTCGACATTCGGAGGAAGAAAGGAGGGGAGAGGGGGGCGGGGTTCTGGCTCTGGAGCTCTGCCTGGTGCGACTGCTTGCAAGAGTGCTGCCTCCGGGGGGAGATCCCACCTGCTCGAAGCAGGCACCACGAGGCAGCCAGGGCCTGCTCCATGGAGGGGGGGGGGAGGGCGGGGGGGGAGGGCGGGGGGGGAGGGAGGCCCGAGCCTATCGGCAAGACGGTGAATAAAACAAGCGATCACCAGCTGTGCAAGAACATTACCTGGCCATCGTTCGGACGTCCATTCCCTGTGTATGTTTTTCGGTTTCGTGCATGTTTTTTTTTGATCGATGGTCCAGGATGCTCTTCGATGGTTCTCTCCGAAAAAATGCACACGTCCGAGCGATGCCAAGAAAAAAAACGATCACCAGCTGTGCAGGAACATTACCCTTACCAGCCTGGAATACATCCCCATCCCTAGGTTGGGCATCGCCTCATCACGATGGCGATCTTAGGGACTCCCTCTGCTTCCGAGGGTGCATCCCTGAGATTGCCATCTCCTTTTAGCCATCTCCTTTTGGCGTGTCAATCTTAGGGACAGGGAAAAGTCCGAGGCTGGTGATGCCCCTCGCCCCGAGCGCTTGCTCGCCCCGGGCTCCGCGCGGCAGAGGCGCGCGCGGAGCCCCGGGCTCGCGAGCGCGCCCAGCACCGCCGCCCGCGCCGCGGCCTCCGCGCCCGGCGCGGGCGCCATCGCTCGGTCGGGGCGCCCTCTCGGAGGAGTCCCCGGCCCGGACCCCACGAGCAGCCCGGATCGGGCCAGGACGCGCGCGGCAGCTGCAGAGAGGAGGGAGACGCATCCCTCCTGCCCCTCCCCTCCCCGCCCACCCCGCTCCGCCTCCTGCTCCTGCTCCTGCTCCTGCTCCTGCTCCTGCTCCTGCTCCTGCTCCTGCTCCTCCTCCTCCTCCTGCTCCTCCTCCTCCACCTCCTCCTCCTCCTCCTCCTCTTCCCCCTCCCCCTCCCCCTCCCCCTCCCCCCTCCTCCTCGTCCCTGCCTCCTCCTCCTCCTCCTCCTCCTCCTCCTCCTCCTCCTCCTCCTCCTCTTCCCCCTGCTCCGCTGCCCCCATCTTCCAGCATCCCACCCCTATTTCCCTTCCCTGACGACGACGACGACCTTGACGTCGTCGTTGACGGCCCTGACGCCGGCGACGACGAAAGCGTCGTCGACGACGAACCCGACGCCAACGACAGCGAGGCTGACAACGGCGACGACGTGGACCTTGACGTCGACGACGAGGACGATGGCCTTGACGCAGCCGACGACGTCCGCGACGTTGCGGCCGACGACATCGACGTTTTCGAGGTCGTCGACCTCGGCGCGGCCGACGACTGCGCCGCCGCCGCCGCCGCCGCCGCACGCTTGCGCGCCGCTGGCCGCGGCGGAAGCGCCGCGCACCTCTGCGCAGGCGGCGCCGACGACGGCGGCGCGGGCACCGCCAGCATCGGATCGGAGGCGGGCCACGGACCATCAGCAGCGCCTACAAGGGCACCAACTATTCTGAAGGGGCCCCAGGACACACAAATAAATGCACACAATAAAACGATTCCCCATATTTTCCTATATTTTCTGGGTTTCTCCCCCCCCACTGCCCATATTTTCCCATATTTTCTGGGGAATCGCCGATTAATTGTGTCTGTGTGTTTTTTCCCCTCCTGATCATCCTGGGTCCAGGACCCGCGTGTGCGCCCTCCTGGCCTGGGCGGGAAGGCACGCACGCACGGATCCTGGGCACGGGCTCGGCCTGGCCGGGATGGGTGCAGGCGCATGGCTTGCCATCGCTCGGGCGCCCATTCCCCGTGCCTTGCTCGGTCTCGTGCACTTATCTTGAGGAGGGGCCGACCGTCCCGGCATTCCTACAGTCCTACCACGATTTTTTTTTTTAGAACCCAAACATGTTCTAACAACAAAAGCAAGGTTCTTAGAACATCAGCCCGATGTGTCAAACCAAGACAGTCTCAACCAGAAATGTTCTAAGGAACATTACGTGGAAGCCACACAGAGTTCTTCGAACATGGTCTGGTGGGGCTATAGGCGAGCCAGGACGCTTCGCCACTGCTTGATGATCGGAGGACGATCCAAGATGCTCCCCGCTGATCCTCGCCGAGAGCAAACACACGCGACCGAGCGCCCTCCGAGCGTCTGCGCCCCAGGGTGATGAATTGAGCGACGACGACGACGACGACGACGACGACGACGACGACGACGACGACGACGACGACGACGACGACGGCGGCGGCGACGACGACGACAACGGCGTCGTCGACGACGACGACGACGAGCGTCGGCGCAGGTGCGCCCGCGCGCGCGCGCGCGCCTGCCGCCGCCCAGCGCGCGCCACCGCGAGGTGCGCGCCCCAGCGCCGGCGCCAGCTCGGGCGGCGGCCTTGGGCGACTAGGGGGCTCCGACGGGGCCGCCGCACCAGGAACCCGGGAACCCAGCTGGCTACCAAAATTGGCGGGGCACTTTCGCCAAATCTTTCAATTTCTGCTAGGACCCCTTCAGTGCCAGCAATGGTTGGGGAAAAACCTGAACTGCGAGGGTACGCAAGGCTCCCATGATTTGCTACCGAATCCTCCCACCTCATGATCCTCCCCTTCCGTCCCTGTTGTTGGTGCCATGTTGGCTGCCCTGCCCGAGGGCTTTCCACTGCGCCCGGCGGGGTCGGTGGGTGCATACTGGTCATCGCATGCGTCTGCATCGGCTTCGAAGCTTTGGCTTTGCGCCAGCTGCGAGTATTATGGTACTACCAAGCTTGAGAACCTGGGTCGAGAATGTCCCATTGCAGCGGATGCAAATCGAAGCGAGTGTGTGAGTCGGACCACAACGACTCATGGCCAAGAGCGTTATGAAAGGCCGAGAAGCTCGCTCTCAAGCGTTAGCAGCTTCGATCTCGACTCGCATCGCTACTTTTCTCACTCCTTCACTCACCGCACCCACCCTGCTACCTCTGAGACATGAACTCCCGTCGCACCACCGGAACTGCCGCTAGGGCGGGCCGTGCATTTCTCCCGAAACCTCCTCACCATCTACTTTCTTGAAGCTTGAAGCTTCCCACAGGTGCATTCATCGATGATGGGCGTATTTTCCACCACCACCACCATAAGTTGGTGGGGGGGGGTCCTCCTGCACCTCCTCCTCCTCCTCCTCCTCCTCCTTCCTCCTCCTCCTCCTCCTCCTCCTCCTCCTCCTCCTCCTCCTCCTCCTCCTCCTCCTCCTCCTCCTCCTCCTCCTCCTCCTCCTCCTCCTCCCCCCCTCCAACTTATGGTGGTGGTGGTGGGAAACAGGCCCATCAATGGAGGGCGGGCCGTTTTCAAAATCGGGCTCTCGCACTGGACGCGGCGCACGCTCGGCTTGAAAAAAAAAACAGGCTGCACGCACGGAGGGCGGCTCGTTCTCAAAAGGGGGCATCTCGCCGTGGCGCCGGGCGCCGTGCGCTCTCTAGTCTCACGAGGTTGTAAGAGCTCCACGAACGCAGGGCGGCTCCTCTCGGCGGTGGGCAAACCTCCCTTTAATGGACCTCCCTTTAACGAACCTCCCAAGGATTTCTTCTGGAATCCTATGGATGTCATCAAAAATCCGGTGTGGATGTCATAATGAATCCTGAGGATTGCAACACAAATCCTGCGGATTTCCTCGGGAACCTAAGGATTTCTTCCGGGAGCCCTGTGGGTACCCTCAAGAATCCTGTGTGGACTCCCTCGGCAAGCGCCGGAAGTTTATGTGAATATTGGCGGTGGACAAACCTCCCTTTAGTAAACCTCCCTTGAATGAAAACGGCATAGGCCACTGCACTAATCGACGTGTCAGGGTAGGAGGTGTATCAACCTCCGATCCTTTTTGGAAAGGGACTCGCGCGAGGGACGTCCTCATCAATTGCCTTCAGTAGCCTGGCACTGTGCAACGGCGGCGAAGCAACTTGGACGGGTGTCGGGCAGTTTTTGTCTAAAGGTAAGGGGCTTTCGCCTGAGACTTTCGCTGGCTTGACGCCAAAAAAGAAGTCCAGAAGCACGTGCAACGATTACACGGATCGGGAGTGATTCCGTTTCAGAACGGCGCTGCCGCTTTACACCCTCACCTTATACAGAGGAACCCGGCAAAAGGAACCAGGCAAAGGCATAAGCATACACCTTCTGCGCTCCGAGCGAATCTCTCGGATCTGCGCTGGACCCTCCCTGGCGCGCGGAGCGCACCAGGGGCGGGGTTCCTTGCGCAGATCCAAGAAGTCCCATGGGTGTCCTGAGGAATCCCAAGGATTTCTTGTGGAATTCTATGGATGTGATCCAAAATTCCTGTATGGACGTCATAAGGACTCCTGAGGGTTGCAACACAAATCCTGAGGATTTCCTCGGGAACCCAAGGATTTCTTCCGGGAGCCCTGTGGGTACCCTCAAGAATACTGTGTGGATTCCCTCGGCAAGCGCCGGAAGTTTATGTGAATATCGGCGGTGGACAAACCTCCCTTTAGTAAACCTCCCTTGAGCGAAAACTGCCTAGGACCGAAGCCGACGGACCTGGGCCCGTCAGAAATGCCGGCCGCGACGCCCTCCCGCGAACCGAGAAGGGCCACTTCGCTAATCGACGTGTCAGGGTAGGAGGTCTATCAACCTCCGATCCGTTTGGGAAAGGAACTCGCGTGTGGGACGTCCTCGACGTTTGCCTTCAGTAGCCTGGCACTGTGCAACGGCGGCGCGGCAACTTGGACGGGTGTCGGGCGGTGTTTTCTAAAGATAAGGGCCTTCGTCTGAGACTTTCGTTGGCCATTTCACTAATCGACGTGTCAGGGCAGGAGCTCTATCAACCTCCGAGTATACCTTTCTGTTGGCTCTTCGACCGCAGCTCGAAGGGTGGAGCGTATCGTCGGTCGCAGAGCGAGCCCTCCGCCCAAACTCCGCAGCCCCACGCGGGCGCTCGCCCTCTTCAAGGGGGGGGGGGGGCGCCTCGCGCAGAGGTGAGCTTGCGGCTGCTGCAGGGGGGGGTGCAGAACGAGGCGGGGGCTTGGCACGGGAGAGTGGAACTGCAGCATCGTTGACACATCTTCGCGATTGCTCCCGTCCTCCTCCCTCTTCCTCCCTCCGCCCCCTCCCTCCGCCTTCTCCTCCTCCTCTTCCTCCTCCTCCTCCTTCGCCTCCTCCCTCCTCCGCCTCCTTCCTCCACACCTTCCCCCTCTCTCGCCCGCCCCTTCCCATCCTCTTCCCCTCCTGCTGCTGGTTTTGCTACTGTCTCATCCCACCAATTCCTTCTCCTCCTCGACCACCACCAGCTCCTCCTCCCAAGGGCGCAGATAAGGGTGAGAAAGAGGAACGAAACAGGATGAGGCCAAAAGGAGGAGACGATGAGGAGCGGGGGAGAAGGCGGGGGAAGAAGGATTCAGAAGGACAGAAGTGACAGAGAGTGGCAGGAGGAGGGAAACTGACAGGGCAACAAAAATAATAAGAGGAATAAATATGCAATTCCGCAATATGATGCTGCCCCTAGCATGGATCCTACTGCCGCTATCCCTTGCAAGCGACGCTAAACATGCAGCCAATTCTGCGGAGTGGTATCAGCCACTGGACCATTCGGTATCAGGGCGCAGGACTGTCGCAAAAGCGGGCAACGAAACTGGCAGCGAATGACAGAACTGCGGAACGCTAATTCGTGCAGGCTGCGCGCATCTGGAAGAAGGAAAGCGACATCAGCACTACCTTCCCGAGGCCCGCGCAGGAGAAGGGCTCAGCGCCGATCCAAGAAATCCGCGCGGACCTCCGACAATTCGTGCTGGTTGCACTGGTTTTCTTCTTCGGGCGCCCACTCTTGCACCACGCGACGGAAGGGCGAAATTGGACGCCCGAAACTATACGGGAGTGCTGCGGTACAGGCTAACTCCCGTTTGGGCCCCCGAGTTACGCTACCGCAACTAACCCTGACGGCCCCAAACTCCGGTGATTCTGAAGGGTTGCCCGAATTATCCGGGACAGCTGCGGTCCAGGGTAATTCCTGTGTGGACCCGCGAGGCACGAAAAAGTAGCTTTGTGTCGCCCGTGCCCACCTGCAGGCGAATGTCGGTACTGTTCTGGTGCTCGAAATGCCTTCTGGTGGTCAAGACTTAAGTAGGTTGGAACATCTGAAGGGGCCCCAGGACACACAAATAAATACACACACATAATAATATGCCCCATATTTTCCCATATTTTCTGGGTTTCTGTCTTCCCCCCCACTTCCCATGTTTTCCCATATTTTCCTGGGACTCGACGATTAATTGTGTCTGTATGTTTTTTCCCCTCCTGCACATCATAACCATGGATGTGGCCACTGCCCCCGGCCGGGCCCATCCTGGGACCAGGAGCCGTGAGCACGGACTCGAGGCCTCCCAGATGTGGTCCGAGCAGGTGGGATCGGAGGATCGCGCCGCACCGCCGATGCATCGCCGATGCGGCTCGATGAGGGTCCTGATATTCTCCACGCCGTCTGCGCCGATGGATGCATCGCCGACGTCGCCGACGTCGCCGATGCATCGCCGATGCAGCACCCTCCTGCGCCCCATCGACTCGCACCCATCCAGGAGGCCTCTACAGACATGCTCGCGTCGCGGTATACCCCCTCCATGGCCCAGCCACGAGGGGGCATGCCCAGACATGCGGTGCCTTGACTGTTTCAAGCTGGGGTACCCGAACGTTCCGACCCTTTCCCCAAGGCGCGTGTTGCATCCCGAGTTGTTAGTTGACGGTCCGAGGGACCAGCGATGGCCCCCGGAGGCCGAAAACTATCCAAAAAATCCCGTCATGCTTTCTCCAGCGACGCGAACATGTCTGTAGAGGCCTTCCAGATGGGGTGCGAGCAAATAGGGTCAGAGGATCGCGCCGCATCGGCGATGCGTCGGCGACGTCGGCGATGCATCGGCACCGACGGCGTGGAGAATAGTCATCGCGACCCACATCGAACCGCATCGGCGATGCATCGGCGATGCGGCGCGATCTTCCGAATCCACCTGCTCGGACCACATCTTGGAGACCTCGAGTCTAGGTTTAGGTCGGGCCTGTCCCCCTGCAGGGGGATTTTGGAAGAACCATTAAAAAAACATACTCAAATAATGCTCAAACGATGCTCAACAATACTCAAAAAAATAATCCCCAGACTACTTTGTGACTGTATTTGGATATTCCACATGTAGAAGGACAGGCCCGACTCGACCCTAGGTTCAGAAGGGTTGCTGAACTAAGGAACGCTGGCCCTGGCTGGCACCAGACGAGCCCGGGGAAATTACACGAGGAGGCCCAGAGGCACAACCACGGAACGACCCAAGGAACAGCGAGCCCCGCCCGAACCCAGAGCGGACACCTCTCCAGCGTCTGGACGAAGAACAAGCTGCACAAGCACAAGCTTTCGATGGTCCGCGCGGACTTCTCGGATCTGCGCTGGACCCCCCGCCCTGGCGCCTCGCCATCGCTCGGACGTCCATTACACGTGCATCTTTCAATTTCGCGCGTGTCTTCTTTGCTCGACGATCCAGGATGCTCCTCGATGTCCCCTCGCCGAGAAAAAGTGCACACGTCCAAGCGGCGCCAAGGGCGCGGAGCGCGCCAGGGGTGGCGCCGGAGGCGCCGCCAGGGGGGCCCGGCGATGATCCGAGAAATCTGCGCGGAGCGCCAAAAGTCTATTGAGCAGGGACCGACCGTCCTGGCATTCCTATAGTCATACCACGAAAGGTTCTTAGAACCCCAAAATGTCCTAAGAACAAAAAACAATGTTCTTAGGACATCAACCCGATGTGTTAAAGCAAGACAGTCCCAGCCAGTAGTGTTCCAAGAACGTTTCGTGCAGACCACCGAAGGTTCTCAGAACATTGTCTGGTGGGGCTATAGGCGAGCCGGGACGCTTCGCCACTGCTTGAGTCTATGCGTGTGGTGTTTATTCTCCTTCCTTCGAGCGCCTTATGAGGCTACACACTCGGGGATCTTCTGACCCGGGTCAATCCAGGCCCGGGTCACCAGGAAACCAAAAACTGCAATGCAGGAAAAAAACTGCAACGCAGGTCTTCGCAAACCCGGGTCAGCCAATACGAGCGGCCGCCTCGCGGCCACGGGGGGCTCGCTAACCCGGGTCAGCCAGAGGGGGCCTTCGCAGGATCCTGCAGGATCTGGCGCTCTGGCTGACCCCCGCTTGCACTGACCCCCGTCTCTTAGGCCCCGACACACGCACGCCTCCCGGGCCCCGGCGGGGCCCAGCGCCAGGGACCGGTGGACACTCTGCAGGCCTCGCCGTGCTGCGGGAGGCCCCGCGACCCCGCGCGCGAGGAGCGCGCCGCCGGGCGGCTCAGCACGCGGCGAGCTCCGCGCCCACCGCCCCGCCGGTGAGCGCCTCCAGGCTGGGCGCCCGGAACGGGCACGGCCGGACGTCACTGGGCAGGGCACGCGAGAGGACACGAGACGCTTCCGAGGACACGAGACGCTTCAAAGGACAGGGCACGCGAGAGGACACGAGGCCCTTCCGAGGGCATCATCGCCATAGGAATGCGGGAGGCATGGGCCGCGAGACGTAGGACACAAGGGTAATTACCCTTGATTTGGCGCCTCCAGGCTGGGCGCCCGGAACGGGCACAGCCGGACTTCACTGGGCAGGGCACGTGAGAGGACACGAGACCCTTCCGAGGGCCACGTTGCCACAGGTTACCAGCCTGGAACACACACATATACATATATATATATGTATATGTATATATATACACATACATACATACATACATACATACATACATACATACATACATACATACATACATACATGCATACATACATACATACATACATACATACATACATACATACATACATGCATACATAACATACATACATACACAAACACATACATACATACATACAATACATACTACATACATACCTACATACATACATGCATGCATGCATGCATGCATGCATGCATGCATGCATGCAATGCATGCATACATAACATTACATACATACATACAACATACATACATACATACATACATACACACACACATACATACATACAATACATACATACATACATACATACAATACATACATACATACATCATGCATTTATACATGCATATGCATGCAATGCATGCATGCGTGCAGCAAGCATGCATGCAGCATGCATGCAGCATGCATACATTATAAATACATCATATGTACATACATACTTACAACATACATACATACAATACAGAGAGAGAGAGAGAGAGAGAGAGACAAAGAAGGGAGAGAGAGAAGAGAGAGAACGTGATCCACCGCCGCTTTACTGTGGAAAATTGCCGCACTTTTCCTCCGGAACCCGGGTTCCCCCCCCCCCTCCGAAAATCCCCCCCCCCCTGCTGGAACCCCTCCCCCCCCCCCCCCCTCCCTCCCCCGGCAAACCCCGCCCCCTCCCCTAACCCCCCCCCCCCCTCCTCTCGAAAACCGGGGGGGTCCCTACGTTCGAAACCCCCCCCCCCCTCGAAACCGAGGGGGTCACTACGGTTCGATCCCCTCCCCACCCCTCCCCCCACTCACCGCCAGCAAACTCCCGACGACTCCCGGTCCCTACCACCGTCCGCACCACATCCTCCACTGTTGTTCCCAGCGCCACTGTCCTCACCACCACTGTCACCACTGGCTCCACCACCGTCCCTACTCTCCCCACCAGTGCCCCCCACCTCTGTCGCACTGTCCCCACTGTCCCCACCACTGTTCCCACCAGGGTTCCACTCTCCCCACTTTCTCCACGGCCCCAACCACTGCCCGACTATCCCCACTGTCCCCACTGTCCCACTGACTCCTCCGCTGTCCCACTAAGCTGTCCCACTGTTCCCACCAGTCCCCACTGTTCGCACCACTGTCCCCACTGTACCTCTGTCCCATTTTCCCACCGTCGTCCTCGCCACCGCCTTCACCACTGTCCCCACCACTGTACCCTCTACTTTCCCACTGTTTCCACCTGATTCCCACTGTCCCCACACCACTGTCCCCACCACCACCGTCCCCACCACTGTCCACTGTCCCTACTGTTTCCATCATTGTCCTCATCACTGTCCCCACCACTACCGTCCCCACCACTGTCTCACTGTCCCCACCACTGTCCCGCTGTCCCCTCACCACTGTCCCCATCACCACCGTCCCCACCACTGTCCGCACTTCGAACCGGTAGTGACCCCCCCCGGTTTTCGAGGGGGAGGGGGGGGGGGGTTCGAACCGGTAGTGACCCCCCCCCTTTTCATGATGAACGGGGGGGGGGGAGGAGTTCGAACCGGTAGTGACCCCCCCTGTTTTCCGGAGGGGGGGGGGAGGGGTTCGAACTGGTAGTGACGCCCCCCTGTTTTCCGCCAGCAGCGGTAGAACACGCTCTTTCATATATATATATATATATATATATGTATGTATCCCTATCCCTATGTTGGGCATCGCCTCATCACGATTGCGATCTTAGGGATTTCCTCAGTTTCTGAGGGTGTATCCCTAAGATTGTCATCGCCTTCTGGCGTGTCAATCTCAGGGATAGGGATATGTTCGAGGCTGGTGACACGTTGCCATAGGAATGCAGGAGGCATGGTTCGCGAGACACAGGACACGAAGGTAATTACCCTTGATTTGGCAGGGTCGACCTACGAATCCGGGCCGACGGTACGGGAAACATGGGTATACAGTGCCCAACAAGTGTGGTCTCTGACCGACAGCGGCCGCTGTCGGGCTAGCGGCTCTCTGCCTTCAGAGAACAGCGTCCGCGGCGGCGCGAACGGCGAGCCCTGTGCAGAAGGAACAGGAACTGCTGTTGGGCAGCGTGCCCATTCTTCCTGTACTCTAGGTCTCTCCATAAGCGTAGGGGGGGTGGATCGCGTGGGGGGTGGGAAGCCGCCGTCCTTCGGGGGGCGTGGGGAGGTGGGGAAGCGAGCGGGGGTGGGCTCGGGGCGCGTGGGGGAGTGGGCAAGGGGTGTCGGACAGGTTGGCAGGGGGGGGTGCTTTACGCAGAAAGCATCTATGCACCACCACAGTGCCAGGCCAGGGCCATCCTGGGCCCTGGGATGGTGTATACGCCATCCTGGCCGAGGCCAGGAGGGTCTATACACCATCCTGGGGCCCAGGATGGCCCTGGCCTGGCACGGTGGTGGTGTATAGATGCATTCGCTGGATGCTTATTGAAGGATCTGGGGCACCCATGTCGATCGTCCCGATCCACGGGGAAGCCAAGGACTACCGACACCCCCGGGGCTCCACGACCGTGCGGCGGCGCACCGCGCGGCCGCCTCGAGCTCCCGAGGGGGACCTCCCCGCGCGGCCCGCCACAGAAAAAAACTGCCTCGGGCCCTCGGGGGCCCCCACCGCCCGAAGCGCGCCCTCGGAGGACGGCCCGAGCTCCGAAGCCGCGCGGCGACGCCGAGCCCCCACCGACGCACCATACAGTCGGGGTTTTGACCTAAGGAACCCTAAATAAGGAACGAGGCCCCCTTTTTCCACAAGTTAAACTTCGATTTCCCATCGAAAACCTAAGGAAAACCTGAGGCAAGCTGATTAAGGAACACGGAACCCCTCCCCAACGAAAAGGGTTCCTTCTTCAGGGCCCCGACTGTACTTTGGACGCCCGAAGTGGGTACGGAAGAAATGGGTACAGTGCCCAATTAAAACAAATGCCGCCCCAAAGCAGCAGCGGCCGCTGCTGGGCAGGCGGCCTGCTGTCTCAAACGGACACAGGCCGCGGCGGCGCGGACAGCGAGCCCTGTTCAGAGTGAACAGGAACTGCTGTTGGGCATTGTACCCATTCTTTGAAGGGGAAAAGGATTCCCCATATTTTCCTATATTCTCTGGGTTTCTGTCTCCGCCCCCCACTGCCAATAGTTTCCCATATCTTCTGGGGAGTCGACGATTACTTGTGTCTGTGTGTTTTTGTTCCCTCCTGACCACCGACGCACCATGCTTTGGACGCCCGAAGTGGGCACGGAAGGAATGGGTACAGTGCCCAATAAAACAGATGCCGCCCCAAAGCAGCAGCGGCCGCTGCTGGGCAGGCGGCCTGCTGTCTCAAACGGACACAGGCCGCGGCGGCGCGGACAGCGAGCCCTGTTCAGAGTGAACAAGAACTGCTGTTGGGGATTGTACCCATTCTTTGAAGGGGAAAAGGATTCCCCATATTTTCCTATATTCTCTGGGTTTCTGTCTCCCCCCCCCACTGCCAATATTTTCTCGTATTTTCTGGGGAGTCGACGATTACTTGTGTCTGTGTTTTTTTTTTCCCTCCTGAATTGTACCCACTCTTTCCGCACCCATTTTTGGGCGCCCGAGTTATCCGGGGTAACTCGGGTCCGGGGTAACTCGGGTTTGGATTCCCGAAAAAGGAACCCGAGTTATCCCTGACCCGAGTTACCCCTGATGATTCGGGGCTCTGGACGCCCGAATTATCCGGGGTAACTCGGGTCCGGGGTTACTCGGGTTCGGATTCCCGACAAACGAACCCGAGTTATCCCTGACCCGAGTTACCCCTGATGACTCGGGGCTCTGACCGACATGCGGCGGGGCCACCACGCCCGAACTGCCGCCGCTCCCCGACCTCCCGGGGTGCGCCCTGGACCCCCGCCTCTCGGGGCGGCTCCCGCCGTGGCGGCGAGGGCCTCCGGGGAGGCCCTCGGCGAGGCGAAGACGCAGGGCACACGGCAGCGATCGGGCTCGCGTCGTGACGACCCCGGCGTCGGTTTTTCCGACGCCGCGGGGATCGTTCGACCTTGACCGATCGGCCGCTACCGGAACCTTCTTTCAACGCCGACCGATCCCGAGTATCGTGTAATCGATCCCCATCCCCAGCGGCGTGGCCTGGGCCCCACTGGCCGAGTTACCCCCCTAAATAAAGATATGGGCCGTCCTCTTCGGCTTTCGAGGGGTGCACCCCCAACTGGGAGGTAATTAGGTGGGGGCCTCGAAAGGGATGGGGATGGGGATGGGGATGGGTGAAACGACACCGAGGTTCTGGGTCGCCGGCAGCGTTCCACGTCGACACGCTGGCGGCGGGGTCGCCGCCCGTCGGCGCGACGCGTCTGCCGTAGGCAGAACTCTTCGGAGGTCTGCGCGCGGATGTCTCGGATCGGCGCCTGGGCCCACTCCCCGGCGCTCGAGCGCGGCAGGGGGCCCAGCGCAGATCCAAGAAATCCGCGTGCGGGCATCTGGAAATGCATGCTCGTTGCCTTACTTTGGCGGCGCGCACCAGGGGGTGGGGGGAGGGGGAAGGCTTCTTGGAAGGAGGCTGCTTTCTCAGAAAGGGCCCAGCCTTGCATCTACAGATCAGAGCCCGCGCCTTCTACGAAAAAAAAAAAAAGCAAACCAGAAGCCATGGGTGCTTCTAAGAAGCCCACCCCCCTCCCCCCACCCCCCTCTGCGCGTGGCTGATTACTGGATCTCAAAGATCCGATGTCGTGATCTTCCAAGGCGAGGTCCACGGGGCCGGGCTCTGCATCCTGAGAAATTCGGAGGACAGCCCCTAGAGGCCATCAGAGGCCGACCACTGCGAAGAACCTCCGTCTCCGTTTCTCCAATACTCATCGGCACGTCCTCTGAAGGAGGAGGAGGAGGAGGAGGAGGAGGAGGAGGAGGGGGAGGAGCCGCAGTGGTGGTGGTGGGTGAAGGAGGAGGAGGAGGGAGGAGTAAGAGGAGGAGGGGGAGGGGAGGAGGAAGGGGAGGGGGGAGGTGGCGGAGAGGGGAAGGCGTAGATGGGGAGGGAAGAAGGCAGGAGGGTGAGGAGGGAGGAGGAGGAGAGGGAGGAGAGGGGACCTCGCTCCTGCCCGTTTTTCTCTGCGTTCACACGAAAACCTCTCTCGACCCACGGCCTCGAGGCGCGGTCCCGCCCCGCGGCCCGCGGCTGCGGCCCGCCCGTGCCTGCGCGCGCCGCCCCTGCGCCGTCACGCGCCGACGGCGGCCGCGACGGCGCCGGCCCACCGCCGGGGCGCCGCGCCGCGCGGGCGGCCGCCGCGGAGGGCCCCGCCGCGGGCGCCGAGCGGCCTGCGGCCGCCTTCTGCGCCAGCGCCGCCGCGTCGGCGAGGCCGGGGGCGCGCGGCGTGCCGTTGCGCGGCGCCCAGGCGGGGTCCCCGAGCACGAAGGCGGGCGAGGAGGGCCCCAGGCACCAGGCCGCGAGGCTCGAGGCGACGCACTGGCCGCAGCTGGCGCTGGACGAGGCGCAGAAGCCGCCGCGCTTGGGCCTGGAGCGTCGCTCCACCGATCCCCGTCGCCACTGGCACGGCCTCGCCCGGAGATCTGGGCGTCTGGCTTTTTCACACTCTGGGGAGATGTCGTCGATGGGGTGTGGGGGGCTCTGGTCTCGTGATCTCTTGTGATGTGGCGCGGTTCTGCAGCGGCAGATCTCAGGGGCCAACGATCTCACGGATCCAGGTGGGATACATATGCTGTTCCCCCCGCGCTTCGTGAGGCCTGTACCAACCTGGGCGGGTGGCCTGGGTGGTCTGAGTGCCATGACCCAGTGTGGATAGGGATCGGCCAGACGACGATGCTGAGGCCTTGCGACGCAGGTGGCGCACACGTTCGCCACGTCCGTCGCCGCAAAGCAGCAGAAAGGCCCCTCGTCGTCGTCGGCGGCGAGGTCGGGGGCATGCCCGTCCGACTGCAGCGTTCGCTTGACGGCCTCCTGCTTTGGACGCCCGGAATGGATACGGAAGAAATGGTCACGATGTCCTACAACACATGTTGTCCAGAGCCGGCAGCGGCCGCTGTCAGGCGGGCAGCCGTCTGTCTGAAACGGGCGACGTCGGCAGTGACGCCGACAGCGCATCCTGTCCAAGATGGAACGCGACAGCCGTCGGTCTTCATACCTAATTGCCTCAGTGCCCACTTCGGGCCCCCGCGACCTGCGGCGGCGGCAGCACAAAGGCCGGCGAGGCCTCGCTGGGGCACCAGGCGGCAATATCGGCTGCACGCAAGAGTGACCCCAGGCACGAGCGACCTCTGGTGCTCGGCTGCCAGGGGACGCGGGGAGCTCGAATTCGAGCTAACATACGGGGCTCAAACATGTCCACCACCATCACCTCCCTCCACCCCCTCCTTCACCCAGGAAAGAGGAAGGGAAGAGGAGCTTGGAGGGAGGGGGAGGACTGGGGGTGGCGGTGGTGTATTGCCCCCCGGTCTTCGAAGGGGCCCACCGTCCGCCACTCCCAGTCGAGAGGGAGTGGAGCTGGAGTTTTCTCCGAAGGGCTTAGGCGCCCCGTCCTCCTCCTCCACCTGCTCCTCCTCCTCCTCCTCCTCCTC